GCAAGGCTTGATACATAAGTAAGCAATTGCAAACAATTAGGGCAACCTGTCATATCTGATTACATATAGTGGAAAAAGGTCAAGCCATAATTACTAAGTGTGTATATTTGAAATCAGTTTCCAGTGACCATCCTTCAGAATGGGGTGAAAATGACCAATGAGCCCCCTACTGGGCTTCGTCTCAACCTCCTGCAGTCTTACTTATCTGACCCTATCTCTGACCCAAACTTCTTCAATAACTGCCCTGAGAAGGAGATGGTGAGTTTAGTCTGGGATCTATTAATTAAAATTCATCTGTTGCACTGAGGGGCTTTTATAACTTATGGATTCCTTCATTAGATTTGGGAAAAGCTTCTGTTTGGATTGTGCTTCTTCCATGCACTTGTTCAGGAAAGGAAAAAGTTTGGCCCACTGGGTTGGAATATTCCCTATGGCTTCAATGAGTCTGACCTCCGGATAAGCATCAGACAACTCCAGGTATTTTATTCAGGAATGACTGGAAATTTTATCGTCACAAATTCAAAACATCTTTCACTTCTTATCTCTGCAGCTATTTATAAATGAGTATGAGGAGGTGCCCTTGGAGGCCATAACATATCTTACTGGAGAGTGTAACTACGGTGGCCGTGTGACAGATGACTGGGACCGGCGGCTCTTGCTGACAATCTTGGCTGATTTCTACAACAAAGAAATTATTGAGACATTTCGCTACCCTTTCTCACCCAGTGGTGAATACTTTGCACCACCCAAATCTAGCTATGATGATTATGTTCTCTTCATCAAGGTATACATATTCTTCATGTGGGTAAATGTTTCCCCTCTGTTCCCCTAAACTGTATGAGTAACATTAACTTTGTATTTCAGAATCTTCCATTCACCCAAAATCCAGAGGTGTTTGGGATGCATGAAAATGTGGACATTTCCAAAGATTTGCAGCAGACAAAGCTGTTGTTTGATTCACTGCTACTCACTCAGGGTGGAGGGGAGAAAGGAGGGAGCAGCTCTGGGGGTGACCACGCCCTGTTTGAAATAGCCAATAACATCCTCACTCAGGTATCAACCAATTCAAATGTATCTTTCATTCATCAGTGTGTTATTAACATCGGTATGCACATATAAATGTCAGCAACTGCAAAAATAAATGAAACTAATTAATTTATTCTTCAGTGTAATTAATATTAATGTCATTTAGTGGAAAGAAGACTAACCTTGATGCCAATGTAATAAGTTGGTGTTGGCCATTTCAAAGTTAAAAGGATCAATTATAAAGTGTTTTCTTAGTTGTAACTAAAGCAATGAATAAACTGTTTACCGTAGTTACGCCTAACAACATTTATTGCATATCTCAAAACAATGGTCAGATGGGATTTTATTGCTTTAAGGATATAGAGGATAACAGAAACCATCCTCAGTTATGACATTTTTTTTTTTCATTTCTGTCTCTGAATTATTGAAACACAAATTGACTCGTAGTAGACATGGTTACATATGTTTGTTCTTAAAAAAATAAGTCTAATCAAATATAGAAGACAACATTTTTAGCAAATGCAGAAGATTTTTTTATTGAATGCATGTTGTCATATTTATAGTTGGATTTAGGATCATTGCACAAAGTGCCAGCATTTCCCTCTGCCTTGTAGTTGTAGATTTTTCTAGATATTTTGCTGCTAACTAAATGAAATGAAGGATGAAAATTTATTTCACTGCACTGAAACATATGAGGACATTCTTGTTTAGCCTACTACAAAAAAAGCTGGCAGCTTATTAAAAGTATTTTTCTTTTGATTATTCAGGGTTTTTTTTTATCACAAAGACAATCAATCTATAATTCCATCTATACATTTGGTCTTTTTTCTAGCTTCCGAATAATTTTGACACAGAAGCAGCTCTCCTAAAGTTCCCTGTCCGCTATGAAGAGAGTATGAACACAGTCCTTGTCCAAGAGATGGAGCGCTATAACACGTACGAACAATGAACTATTGTTCAGCTAAAATCTCCAATCAGTCTATGTAATTTAAAACTCCTGATTTGGTTTCTTAGGTTGTGCAGTACCATCCGTGTGAGTCTACAGAACCTTTTGAAAGCTATCAAGGGCTTGGTGGTGATGGATGCCGATCTGGAGGCTGTTGCAGGGAGTTTGATTGTTGGCAAGGTACCAGAGAAATGGGCAAACCGCTCTTATCCAAGCCTGAAGCCCCTGGGCAGTTACATCAATGACTTTCTTTCTAGGCTTAAGTTTTTACAGGTAAAGAATCCTGCAAGAATTGCATATAGCAAATTTTATTTATGCAAAAAGTGAAGTATGAGGTTTTTTAACATTTTATTCTATTTTCACTTTTACGTTGTTTGTCTGTAGAGTTGGTATGAAACCCAAAAGCCCAGTGTGTTCTGGATGTCTGGCTTCTTCTTTACCCAGGCTTTCCTAACTGGGGCAATGCAAAACTATGCCAGGAAATACCATATCCCCATTGATCTTTTAGGGTTTGATTTTGAGGTATAAAACACCCGCTGTGTCTTCACGTGTCAAATATTCAGTCTGATTGCTCTAAAACAGGGACTTGTTTGGTTTTTGTACTCCAGGTTCTCTCGTTTGACAGTTCGGAGACGGCACCCAACGATGGTGTCTACGTTCATGGATTGTTTGTCGATGGAGCTCGATGGGACAGAGACAGGTAGATGTAACTATATGGTTTCAAAGTAGGACAAGACGTGTACCAAAAGATTTCTAAACAAATATACAGCTCTGCAGTGCAAAATGGAAATTATGGAATGAATTTAAAGCAATGTCAGCTTTGTCACCTGTGACATTTTTTGTAGTTATTGCCAAGACATCGATCACAAGCACAATGTCTTCAACAACATAACTTTGACAAATGGCCTTGCTCTTCTCTAACTCAAACTCTTCAGAAAATATCAATACAAGAATTGGCTGCACAGAATATTTAAACATGCAGAGTGAAAATAAAAGTAGACATAGAGAAAGCTATTTCAAGTCTTGTGTTAAAAATCAACACATTATAATGAGAGCTTTCCAAAATTACAAGAGTATCTGTTTTACAGATTATTAATCATCCAGTGAGCAGGAGACATGCATCATGTTTTTTCTCTCAGTAAAACTAGTTTAGCAGTTTTATAGTTACTGAAAGTCACAGAGCCACCGCGACCATTTAAATGAACGTAATTAGATGACCTCATTATCCAGCTTAGCATGAGGCTGATGAGCAGACTGAAGGGAGTCTTTTACATCTTTCCTGTGGTGTCTCAAGTACACTTGGGGTCTTTGTACAACATGATTTACAAACCACATCACAATAAGTAGCTTAAAACCAAGGCCTTGCTTGCACTAAAGAGTGACATTTTCCACTGCATCAAACTTAGAACTGTAGTATCTGAAGTAATTGAGCAATGTGGCACATTTAGTTTATGCAGAAAAACATCTTTGCATAATACTTTTGTTCATCTTTCTATCATCAGTGGAGTCCTGGCTGAGCAGTACCCCAAAATACTGTTTGACTCTATGCCCATCATTTGGATACAACCCAGTAAGTCTAGCCTTGCTGTGTCCATCACAAGTCCCAGTATTCTAAACTTGTGTTAAATGTATTTTGTTTTAAATTATGTCTTTGCAAAGTTATTTATAGCCCTTGATCTTGCTCAGATTTTGTAATGTTGAAACCCAAAATTTGACTGTATTTTATTGAGATTTTATGTGGTAGACAAATATCAAAAATTTGAAATATCAAATCATTTTTGATATTTCAAGATACCTTTTTAAGTTATTTTTACAAGTCCAATTTTGTTTTGCCATTCTGTTTATTATTTAAATTGTTTCATTATCTTTGTCCTTACCATTTTTATTTGCTTGTTCATTACTTTGTGTACTTCTCTCCACACAGCTCAAAAGAGCAGCCACACTTCACCTGACCAACTGTATGTTTGCCCTCTTTATAAGACCAGTGAGAGGAAGGGGACTCTCTCTACCACAGGACACTCCACTAATTTTGTCATTTCAATGATGTTGCCCACAAACAAGCGTCCACAGCACTGGATTAAGCGTGGTGTGGCCATGTTGTGCCAGCTTGATGACTGAGGGCAGATTACATTTTGCTGGAGATTTACTGCATAATAGTTTTTGATGTATGAAAATAAATGTAATTTCTGCATTTGACAAACTATCAAGTATGCCTGTCATGGAGCATAGTACGTTTTTTTCCAGGTAGTTACTATAACACAAAAAAACAGAAAGTTGGAATGACATTAAAAAAATAAACAGCCTACAATATTATTTATCAATTAATGGAAACATCTGGAATGCCTCAATTTGAGCTCTGCACAGACAGCATTTTTTTCTCCAAAGTTCTGCCATGGATGATAACATTAGGATTTCGGTCATAAGTACTCACATGATAAGTCACTCAAAAGTGGCTAATGTTTCAATATTTCCTTTCAGTTTTTCAATGAAAAGCTTTAAATAACTTTGAATAGTTGTAGACATGCACTGAATGAAAATCACAGTCATAGAGTTTTAATGTTACGAAACAAGTTTTGCTCGAAACACGAGCTTGTAAAGCCTGTGCTCTTCCAGAAAAAAATAAAATAAAATACTTATTGTCTGATGATTAGAGCTCTTAGCTTACTATGTAAGCTCAAATGTCATTAATGTACACAAACTAAAAAGCTGTGATTTCAAATCAATCTATATAGAGTTTGAAAGGTCAAGATCTTTTTTGTTTATATCAAGGACTTCATTATTGTTACTGATTAAGATATCAAGTAAGCAACATTTGAAGATATCTTTAAACTGGTCAGCTGTTTACAGTGTTAAGTGGGTCAGAGTGGGGTGCTGTTTGTAAAAACCCTGTGATCTGATATTTATGGCGAGAGGGAACTATAAATAGCTGCAGTATATGTGTGCACTCAGGATCCCACTGGCTACTAGTGTCAAAACTGCCAGGGGAGTACAGCCATTTTGCTTGAGGTAAACACTGAACACTGAATAGGAACATTTTACCTGGTTAAATTAATTTGTCAATGTTATGGCTCTCTAACCTTGTGAGATGTACTTTTGTCATTTTACCTTTGCTCTTATGTTGAAATTTGATTTCACTTTTGGTGTCTTTCTGACACTTTTTCTGTTACATTGAGATTACTGTGTAACAAATGCTATCTCAAGTCAAATATATGTTGTAAATCTTCATGCTTTTGCTTTGACCTTTATGAAACATAGATAATGTTTATTCTATGGACATCTGCTTGAACCGTTATTGGCTTTGGTTCAGCAACTTGCAAAGGAATATAGATTATAAATGAATATCCTGAATGTATTTGGTGCAGCTAAAGGTATGGCTACTTCTATTTCTGTCTTGACTAAAATGTATTGTTTCCTCAGGATTGCAAATGTTAATGTCACATGTATATATATCAGTTATTGTTTGCTTTTTGGATGTTTCCCTCAGAGCACCTTTATCTGCACTGTTTTTCCCCTGACAATCAGATGAGCTCTCAAACAGGAGATGACTTTTATCAGTCAGAGGATGACCTGGATGAGGATGAGGCGACGCAATACATAATTGAACAGAGTCTGAGTCAGTACAGAAAACTCAAAGGGTTGAATCCGAGGTTAGAATTTCTTACGTTTGGATTAGGCTACATTCAGAAAATTAAATACTGTACATACCAATTTTCTTCTCAGTAAATAAATATTTTTAACATATAGTGACATAAAATTCGCCCCCAAATAGCTGAACTATTCCCCCTGTGAGCCCTCAAACATGAGCGGGTATAGACAATGGATGGATGGCTATATTCCTAATCACTGGCCTTCAAATAGGTTTCTAATTAACACTGATAATGTGTAATGGATTAAAGAAAATAGCTCTCTCAACACCCTCTTGACTTTGTTGTGGTAAGCCCTGATGGGGGATCTAGAAGAGAAAAGAAAAAAAATCACCTTAGCTGAGCAACTACAAAAGATTAAAAGATTTCTCACATGGGAGACAAAAAGAATTAGAAGAACTGTTCAACAGCAAATGATTACTCAGTGCTTCAGAAAGACAAAGAATTGGGACAAAGAATACAGATGGTCTAAATAAATACTACATGAATAAATGAGACGATGATCCAAAATACAGCTGAGCAAATTGTTGGCTCTATTTAGAGAAAGAGAGTAAATGTTGGCAGGACAGTTCAGTCAGTCATACAACATAAATCCAACCGAAAACTTGTGGAAACTAGGCAGGGATAAATGCCCCTGGGGACTTTCAAGTTTTGAGGGCAGCTTGTGTTGAAGAATGGATCAAAATTACACCAAAATAAAATATGCTACAGGAAACGCCTTTTACTTATTATTGATTGCATTTAGCAACGGTATTTAGGACTTGCTTGTCTTAGTATTTCCCTTTTTAACGCAAATTTTTATGGGGGATTTTATTTGAAATATTTACTGAGAAAAGGTTGACATGTACAATATTTAGTACACCAGCTGAATCTAAATTTAAATGCTCCTTTGTATGTTTGCAATTACTTATTAACTAGTGATCTGAAGCCCAGCGCAGACCCTGATGAGATTTTCAAAGCTATCAAGGAGGGTAAGCTAATCTCTTTTTTTTTTCAACTTTTTAAGATCTTATTCAGAGAAACGTGAAATATCAGAAGTTCTGAATTTCCATATTTAGGGGATGAGACTGCACTGGATAGACTAGCAGAGCAACCTGAGACTCTGTCTAGAGTTGATGAGAGGGGATGGATCCCACTGCACGAGGCCGCAGTGCAGGACAACAAAAGAATACTAGAGATTATATTTTCAGGTGATAAAAATGACAGCTAAAACATTTGACTGTAGAAACCCATATTTTCCAGGGGGTCTAACTTGTTGATTCACTTCTGGGTATTTTCTTCCAGCATCACCCCCAGGAGCAGTTCAGTGTCGCACTCTGAAGGGTGAGACACCGCTGTTTCTTGCCGTGGTTCATGGGCTGAGACAGAACGCCACATTCCTGTTACAGAATGGTTGCAGCCCAGATGTTCAAAATGATGAGCAGGACTCGCCACTGGTGGCAGGTATCAAACATCAGCTCATTTTGCCATCCTTAGCATTGGCCTAGTATTCTGACTGTTGTTTTTTTCTCCCCTTCTCTTTGACTCAAAGCTATTCTAAATGACCAGTATGACTTAGCCACCCTTTTGCTTCGGTACAATGCCAATGTAGACCAAACAGGACCACTAAACAGGACCGCTCTACATGAGTCTGCGTTTTTGGGTTTGGAGAACTTTGTCTACTTGCTGTTGGAGTCGGGTGCCAATCCGAATGCACTTGATGTTAAAATGAAAACTCCACTTGCGTTGGCTGCACAGAACGGACATCTGAATGTTGTGGAGACTCTGTTGGAAAAAGGTAAATACGGCAATGTATATTCCTTTTTGGTTTCCTACGTAGCTTGTGAAGGGTAATGGTTGGATACTGCAAAATAAAAATGCATACGTCAAACTATATATCATTCAAATCCTTTATCCTGCAAACACCAAGAAATCTCATTCTGCCTCTCTTGATTGCAGATAATAAGAACCTTAAAACCACAAAATACCTGTTCAATATGTGTCTTTATGGTGCCCAAATTATATTTCAGGAGCCCATGTGAGGTCAGAGTTGGAGTCTGGTACTGTGTTATTTGATGCAGCAGCTTCAGGAAACCCTGATATCATCTCCTTGCTCCTGGACCACGGGGCAGATCCCAACCTTCCTCTTTACAGTGGGCACCTGCCAATTCATCGTGTGGCATACCATGGACACAGACTGTAAAGAATATCAAAATTCACTTTCTCATTTTCCAGACAAGTTTTCAACTAATATTCAACATTAACACTAAATATTAACTCTAACAGGGCACTGGAAATCCTCATCCCAGTCACTGACCTACAGGCTATCAAAGCGAGTGGAATGAGTCCACTTCATTCTGCTGCTGCTGGAGGACATGTCCAGTGTTTAGAAATTCTGCTCAAATCTGGCTTTGACCCAAACTTTATGTTGCACCCAAGGGTGCGCCGCAGCTATGACGATGAGCGCAGGTCTGCCCTCTTTTTTGCAGTGTCCAACAACGACCTTCATTGCACCCGCTTACTGCTAGAAGCTGGAGCAATGGTGAACCAGGATCCTGTCAAGTGCCTACAGGTGGCCCTCCGACAGGGCAACTATGAACTTATCAACACCTTGCTAAAATTCGGAGCAAATGTCAACTACTACTCCAGAGTAAACACCACTCACTTCCCCTCAGCCCTGCAATATGCCTTGAAGGATGAAGTCATGCTGAGGATGATTCTGAACCAAGGTTATGATGTTATGCGTTGCTTTGACTGTCCATATGGTGACAGTTCTCATGACTACGCTCCTTGGACAACCTCAGTCATCAAAGACATGGTGGTGAGACACTTGCATGAAAGTAAGATTAATAAAAGGAGAAGGCTTTTTCAGATTTATGTTTAAGTATCCAATGCCTTTTTGACCCTTCACAGTTCTGTGAGGTTATAACAGTGTCATGGTTGAAGCCCTTGTCTGGTCAGGTTGTGCGTATCATGCTGGACTACACTGACCATGTCTCATTCTGCCCTAAACTGAAAGAGACATTGCAGCAGCAGAAGCAGTGGCCAGAAATATGTCATATTCAAAGTGAGAATTTTTCTTTCTATGATGGATGGATTACATTTCTGTTTTTAAAAAACTTGCCAGAAATGATGTACCCTAAAGTGCACTCACTGCTTTTGTTTGTTTTCTTTTTGACTGACAGGAAACACACGGAGCCTGAAGCACCTGTGTCGGTTGAGGATAAGGGAGCATCTCAGCCGTCTGCGCTTGAGAGCCCCAGTTTTTGTCAACTTCCTTCCTCTTCCTTCTAGACTGAAAGACTATCTGCGTTTTAAGGAGTTTGATGTTTACAGTAGGGGGAGTATGGTTAACCTCTGAAGAAGACAAAGTCTAAGATGGTATTGATATCAGCAAGTCTGATAAGTTTCTGTTACATTTCTGCTATTTTACCATAATTAGATCTTATGACTAATAAATTGTAGAGTTTTGGCTGGGGTTTCCTAAGGACAAAAAAGATCAATGCAGGTACATATTATTTTGCCTGCATTAAATACATCTGCTTTTATATTACTACTCTGTGGTGGAAGAAAGAACAGCATTTGTGGAAAAAATTTAAAGGTTTTGTGCATTTCTTACGTTGTCATTTTCAGGTAGACTTTAAGGGTAATTCACATTTGCCAAATTCCCTCTATTTTTATGGGGAAAAAAATACTTTTCTGTGTCATAAGGTGCCTCTGTTGTTTCATTTTTGTTTGTTTTTTAGTATGTAGGACTATAGGTCTAATAAGAACTGCCCTACAAAGGGCAGTAGCTGTCTTTACAAATTTTAAACAGGCATATTTTTAATGGCACAACCCCAGCAATCATTCGCTTGACATGCTTCCTGTTCATGATATTGTTTTTTTTATTTTTTATTTTTAAGTTAACACAAATAATGTATTTAACTTTAATTACATTTCAAGAACACCCATTGGATTGTGCAGGTTGATGCATGTCAATGTATTTTGTTTTATATTGTTTATAGTTCTTATCAAACTTGCAAAATTAAATTAAATGTATATAATTTTTTTGGTCTTCAACAATAATTTTAAAATGACAACTGCTTACAGGGAATGTATAATGAGAAGTGGTGTGCGGTTTAATCGCTGATTGAATTAAAAGCCGACGGAATAGGAATAGTACGGGACTCATAATAAGTGCGGGACACGAGAAAAATGATCTTAAAGACCCAGATATCTAGAAAACATTATTACAATGTATAAGAATTGCTTGGAAACAGGAATTTATAAATATATTGACGATGGAGCATTATGTAACATCCAATATTGAGTTTAAAGTTTCGCTTTCACATCCGTTCACTCATGCTTGTCAAAACATCACGTCTTGCAGTACTCCCTCTGGCCGTTAGGGGGTGTGGATTTTCTGGCATGTAAACAGTGACGGCAACGTTTTGCAGTGGTGGAGAAGAACGTGAACGTCATTTTTACAATGGCGGAGGCTGGGTGAAGAGGCAAGTGAGTGGAAAGCGGCGTCGTAATCGTCAGAGCTACAAAGCCTTTACCGAGCGCACGCTGCCCCAAAATGGCCCTGAACCCCAAGGCTGCGGGAAAGGCGGACTCAGAATGCGCGGAGACAGGCGAGCCGCTCCCGGAGGGCGGCGAAGCCGACAAGAATTCAGCCGCCACTTCGGCCACAGCCAACCAAAATGGCGATCAGCCTGGATGCAGAGACGGTGTAATGCCCGTACAAGAAGCCCCAGAACGGCGGAGGAGCGTGCTGGCGGACGCCCGGAGCTCCAGCAGGTCTCCCTTGCCGGCGCAGAGATCGAGCGAAGAGCTGCCACGGAAAAATTTCCAGATTCCGAGGAAAACGAGAGAACGGAAAGGTGTTGTCATAACGCTGCTATTTTGAACGGAGCCTGTCCTGCTTTCATAATTCTAACTCCTACATGCAGTTAGCCTGCTAGCTAGCTGCTGGGTTCCGCAAGTTTATTGAATTCTTCTGAAAAGATTCGTCCTATTTACCCAGTTCACATTAGATTACACACGGGTAGCACTGGTTGGTGTAGCACTGTTTGCAGACATAACGCTAGCATTGGTGGGTAAGGTTCAGATTACCAGCAGTGTTGCGTCTGGAAGCTGTGCATCTGAGGAGTGACCATCTGAAAGCAAACGTTGTTTGGGTTCTGCAGCTTTTCCGGGGACCCTGGTCCCCCTGAACGTGTGCTTCAGCGCGAACGTGTTGCGACCATCACCTGACGACATGAGGGTGTCTCTTTGACCTCACTGAAGGGCATGGCTTAATTCAACCCATGAGTCAACCCAAACCCATTTCAAAGCTGGACTCCCCTTAATTCACCCCAACTCTGATAACAGAGCATCCCTCTTTCTAAGCACTTCATCACAGCATCCCTCTGTTCATTAACCTGCACATGCAGCTTCCAGAGATGGACCTCCTCCTTTTGAAATGTTGAAGTCCACATAACAAAGTGAAAACTTTCTTTAAATGCCAACAAATGTTTATAAATGCAGAAGTTTAGAAGAAGTTGTTAGCGTTAAGTCACTTTAGATTCTGCTCTTGTAATATTGCCCCTTTAAAATAAAACTATGTACATCCTAGAGTTTAAATGTAAAGCTGGTGTACAGAGTGAACTTGCCTTCATCTTTTTTTCCCATGTAGTGAGGGTTTTGTATGACCAGTTTCCTCACAGATAGAGGCTTTGGGGCTAAAAGTGTTTGCTTGCACTTGAATTGATATCGTGTATATTACGGCTGGTGTAAGGTTTTAGATGCAGTTGATTCATAGTAACTGTTGCATGTTACTATGCAACAGTTGGACAGTGAGTTGGAGATTTTCTTAAAAAAAAAAAAAAAAAAGCTCCAACTCTACTCTTAATGAGATTAATTTGCTGAACACTCAAATTAATATTTGACTTTAGGTGTAAACCATGCAGAATCATAAATTTTACAATTTACCATAAAGAACAGATTTATTCTTTTCTTTTTTCTGTCCGGCTCATCAGATCTGCACAATATTTTTGAATTAAAGCCATAAAGGAGTCCTTGGATTAAAAAATGTAATACAGTCACACTGCAAAAACGAATTTGGCCAGTCGAATAGAATTTTGCTACTTTAAATGTCCACGGCTTGTATCACTTTTCAGCTCATGTATTGTAACATGCTTGCTGGTACAGCTTACCATTGCACTGATTCTCTTGTGAACGTCTGTGTGCAGGTCTGTACCAGTTTTTGCCGCCCGACAGTCGGGAGTTCGAGGACCTCGTGAAGATCATCTCCTCCTTTTACTTGGACGCATCGTCACGCGGGAGCTTCTCCTACTGTAAGGCCAGACTGATTCACAACGAGCTGCTGGAGAAGGAGGTTGGTCCAAGTCCTCATTCGCATAAAAACCGGAAATTGTTGCTTGCATGTGCATCGTCTTTTAGAGATTCAGTTTGCCTGGTGTGATTGAACTTTTTGCCTCATTTTTGTTGCCAGTTCATTGAGAAGCGGAGAGAAATGAAGCAGGAGGGGCGAACTGATCAAGAGCTTGCTGAGTCGTACTGCTTCCTTTTTCCAGACAAATCCAAGGTTAGTTTGCTTTGAAAGCTACAATCCAGTGGTTCGAAAAGTTACTAGAGGTGTTTGATTCTTTTGGGAGCATCTGCTTACTTGTCTTAAAAAAGTCACGGAAAGTCTTACATATTATTACTTCAGTTTTGGGCCTTAAAAATCATCCCATATGTCCAGATTTCTCATCTTAAGTCTTAATTTTCATTCATTCATCTCCACACCTCAGATAAACTGAGGTGTGGAGACAGGAATCATTCATTCTCGGAGCTGTACTTCTGACTGAGATATTCTGCTGTGATTAAAAACTATAAGACTCATAATGTCATTTACCAAACACCCGTGTCCCACACACCTGCAAATAATCTGTATATAAAACTGGCTTGTTGTTTTTTTTTAGGGAATTAAAAATGAAAAAAATCATAACAGTCTTGTTATCTTATCCACTGCCATCTTCTTCTGAACAGTTCATATTTTACAGATATCAGGGTTGGCAAAAATGTGTTGATAATCATTATGATGGTTACAATATAGTTTGATAACATGAGGCCAGAAATAATACAGTTGCATACCAAAGCCTAAAACAATGAGCGTGAGCCAGTGTAAGTTATTGAGTTAAGAGGTTATTAAGTTAACCTATCCAGGGATTTTTTTATAAGCATAATTTATAAGGTTCTTAAATTTAGATCAGAATGGTCCCAAAAAATCATGTGAATTTGTAGTGGCATTTAAAAATAAATGTCCACTTATATGAACAGATCCATTTTATCTCGAAATATAAAATGAAATTAAACAGATATTGGTCAGTTAGATAAGTGTTGACTTTCTAAGTGTTGTCTTGTTTTTCCACTCAGCTTCAGTGGATCTGTGAAAAGGGATTGTCAGTAGGACACTGCAGGATTACAACATTAGGAAACCCATCAGTGGGTAAGCTCTTCTGTTTTGCGTTATTGTTTAAGAAAAAATATGCTTCAGTACTCGAAATGTTCCAGTAGCTGTTTTCAAAATGCAACATCACAGATCTGTGTCAGCAGAAACAGAAAGAAATGCACAAGATTTGTTATGTTTCCAATGTTTTGTGGTAATGTAGGTCTTTTTTTTTTAACTTCCAATGTAGGTGTTTACCTCTCTAAATACTCTGATTTATTACAAATAAATCCTTTGGAAGTGGGTTCGTTTGGAGATATGATCATCTTTAAAGTCATGAGGGTAAGCCCGTAGTCATTTTGTGTTGTTTTTCTCGTTCTTGATTTAACATGTGAAACTTCTAGTCTGTCGTTCTGTTTTACTTCTTAGGGACGAATAAAGCACATCCACGAGAACATGCCTAAGAACGCCATCGAACTTTCACCCAAGTTCGACTGTCACTTGTCCAAAAGTGCCAACAGGGTCACGTCTTTGCTGTCATATAGAGCTTTTGAGCTCACGCAGGTAAATGCTAGCTCATATTTTTATATGCTGTTTTCTGCAATCATTTTAGTTTCTCTAAAACTGCTTGTTTTGCAGCAATATTTTTTTGAGTTTGCGTTCGATGAGATCAAACCGCGGCCCAGGCACGTGTGCCCCTACGCTGTGGTTTCCTTTCAGTACAAAGGCAAGGAGGTTGCAGCATCTCCTATGACTGCACACAGGTACGTTATCCTGCAGGTACTGGTGACGCCCCGTAAACATCTATAGGAAGCTTGCTTGGCTTGTTTAATATCTGTTTCTATATATAAACATCCAGATTCTCTTTTGAACAGGTTCAACACTATTTCTCCTGAAGGAAGTAGAGGTATTTAATTATTATTTTCATTTACTCCATATTTCTCGTTTTTCCTGTTCAGCTATACAACAGTTTTGCATCTAAGTCTCCATGAATCTTAAAAGAAAAACATGTTTAATGATTGTGAATTTGGGTTCAGCATTTGGTGCAAAAAAAAACAAAAAAACAGTTAGTGTGGTTTTCAGTGGTATATTTACCCACAGCTTTACGGTCATGAGGTTTTTGTTAAATTTCTGACTGTTTGACCTGATGGTGTTGCAGGGAAGAGCTGCTACACTGTGTGGAGTGGCCCGCTGGTGAACAAGGGCCAGGAGTTATTCCCAGTCTGTTTACGGTCCTTTTCACGTCCCTACCTTCCTTTCAAGCTGCAAGTACTCCTTTTCTCTGTTAATCATTAAAGCCCCTTTCAGCTGAACTTTAACACTGCACATATTCTTACATGTGAGAAATAAAGAAATGCTAAAAAAAATATGCAATGAAGAATCAGTTATGCATCGCGGCGCGGTTGCTGAGCGGTTTCTGTTCTCTGCAGGCGTGAGAAGTTAGAGATGAATCAAGGTATGCAGCTGGATCAGGTGAAGAGGAAGATCCCTCCTTTTTTGTTTTCCTGGGACACCTACAGTATATCACGGGAAGGTCAGCAGTGCACACACATTTACATCTGTTGTAAAACTAGATGAGCTTTAGTTTAAATGCAGTATTTGGTTTGTATAATTAAAAATAACTATAGAT